AAGTTAATCTGAGTTAATCTTCCAGCAGCAGAGTGAGCAGAAACAGTTGAATCTTGTGTATGAAAGTGCTTTCATTTTGGTGAAGGGACAGATTTTTCTGGAGAGAAGTTAATTTGAGTATGCATGCCTCCAAAATGATGCACATCCATATTCTGTGTCCTTAGCTCTGCTACATTTCATACTGCACACTCAGAAAAACCCTTTTTGGATGCTTTTTATCTCTATTTAGGATGCCATCCTCAATCCATGCTCTCATTTAGTTCCCCTCCTTGAGCCTTTCATTCCTTGTCCCTCCAAGAACCTCTAAGAGCAGCTGGACTGAAGTGTCAGACACTAAAGACACAGGTGGTAAGGAGTGCCCAAAAATTGCTCTTTGGATTTTATATTTAGTTAAATGAAAGGGCTAAATTGAGCCTTTAAAATATAAGAGAAGAAAAAAAAAAAGACCTTCATGGGTTTTGATGATATCTTTTTAGCAGCTTACACCTTTTCCTGCCAAGGTAGTGTTTGAAGTCTCATTTCAAGGGTTTTGTGGCAGAGCTGATTGTGATTATAAACTGGTGAGATAGGAATGAAGTTTTCCTGATTTCTCAGAGGAAGGCTGCTTAGAAGAGGTGGAGATCCCACTTCTATTCACAGAGCTCTGGTGGAGCCTGTCAAAAACCTGAAGTGAACTGGAGGCACAGAAACCCAGATTCTTCCTCAATATGCCCATATCTATTTACCTACTTATCTATTTATAGATTTAAAACAAAAATGCACATAAGGATTTCTATAGAACATATTTTCTTGTTATATGTCCAGCAGGATCTTAAATTTCTTAATTTATTCTTACTTATCTTAATTTATTGAATTTCTTGTTCTTATGTCCAGCAGTATCTTAAATTTCTTCCTAAATAATTATTTTTCACCATGCAGTTGATGGTACTTAAGAGACAGTGGAGGAAAATACCTCATTTGTTCATCAGTTTTTTACCTTCTCCTTTCCCTCTTGCTTCTTAGGATTATAAAGTTTATTTGGGGAGTAAAAACCAACTTGCTTTCCTTTTTGAAGGAGCAGTAAAGTTAATTATTTTAGCTGAGTAAAGTTGTCTGTCTTACAGCACTTGGACTGTTGAGGATAATCTCACCACTTGTTTAAGCAGAGTAATATCATATTAAATATTAAATACTGTAATACAGAATGTCTTATTTAATAATACCAACAATGAGAGTAATTCTTCACTCAACAGTTTTCCCTCAGTTATTGCCTTAGAAATAACCCAGAGTCTAAAAAGGACATTATTTTTAGGGAATATATTAATTTCAGTACATCAATATAATAATTAGATATTAATATATTTGAATAGATTTATAGATGAATATAAACTTATTATCTTCTAATATTTTAATATTAATAGATTTTATATTAATATATGATTTTTCATGAATTTCAAGGATTTGGTTTATCCAGATTCCATCCACATCTGTGCCTTGGAATGGGCCCTGCTCAGCTCCTTGTGTCTTCTGTCCCTTCAGATTCCATTGGTTTTGCCACTGTGGTGCAGTAAAATCAATCTCATGGCAGGGAATTCCCTCAGAGTAAGGAAATGTGCCTGTAATAAAAGTAGCTCCTCATCATCACAAAAATCTCTAATACACGAAGTGATGTTTATTTAATGAGTAATAATTAGTGTAGCTAATTGCAGAAGGAAATCACCCAGGTTAATGCCTCTCTTTCTACCCTTACTGCATATAAACCCTTCTGTATCGTACAAACCCTGACATTTTTCTCCTATTCGTGTAAAAACACAAATACATCAAGTTAGAAACTAAATATGTGCTGTGTTTTACCCAGTTAAAATGATCTCCTACTGATTTACAAATGGCTGGGAGAGGATCATTATTATTCAGGAAAGGAGTAAATCTATTCTAAACACATTTCAGTGCCCAAGGGCTGAGCATTGTCCTCCTGAACCTCAAATGATTTTCCTTCCAGTTCAGTCACCTGAGACAACCTCCAGCTGCAAAGTGAGGATAGAAAATGACATTTTATCAAAGCTGAGTCCACAGAAGAGCTACATCCTCCTACTGAAATGTTAAAATCTATTTTAAAATGTATTTTTAGTGCAGAGCGAATCCCAGGCGTTCGGAATTACTGGCACTGAAACGTGAAATCCGTGCCTATGTATTCCATAGATGCAAATTCCTCATAAGGAAGCAATAAGAGCTAAAATGCCATTATTACTGAACAAGCAGAGGCTGTTCTCACTCACACAGAGAGGCCAAGGCAGGCCTGGAATGCTCCAAACCATGTCCTGCAAGAAGTGCAGAGTGGCAGGAATCCTGAGCCCCCTGAGCCAGAGGGGAGGAGAGGGAGATGCCCAGGAATGCTCCAGCAGGAAGTGCTTGTGGTTGAAAACAGGAGCAACCACATGAATCAGAGGGCTGAGGAGACAGCCAGACGACACTGATGGCAAAAAAATATCAATGCACCGAAAAGAAAAATCAAAAGGAGCCCAAGAAGAATTAAAAGGCGCCAAAAGATCTCCGTGCCTTTGGAGAATGGAAGGGGAAAACCCAAATAGCTCAAAGTTCAGACAATTAAACTTCCTTACTGTTAAAAAAAAACCAATCTCAGTTTTTCCTCCTTTGCCATCTGGAAGTTTTGTCTTAAACACACACAGCACAAAAATGCTTCTCATTTTCCCCCACACACCCACTGAAAGGTCTCTGCATGACAAACCCCAGCACGCTGCACTCTCAGCCTTGCACAACTCCATGGAGACCCCTGGAGCTATCAGGGATTATCCAGAACCTTCCTCTCGTGTGCTAACAAGCAGAATTTCATAAAAATATGGAAATGCACAATGTTTCAACATGGGGCACATGGGGAAAGCAGTTTTGATGATCCCACACCGAGTAGGCAGGAAAAGATTTCCTGCACATAAACCATGGTATGGTACTGAGAAAATCATGTTGTTTTCTCAGCCCTTTCCTTCAGAATTGAACAGGCTCCTTAGTGAGAAATCCTTTTTTATTTTCAGGGAGTAATGATGCAAAGGAGAGCATCTCAAAACAAAGCAACACCATCCTAATTTGTCCCTGCCAGCAGGGTAGAGCACTCCCAACCCACAGCCCTTTTCCCCTGGCAGGAGATCAGAGGCTGCAGACACACAGTGAATTTTGGGGTTGCTCACATCTGCAGATGATTAAAGAGATGCTGCCACTTTCCACGTGAAATGAGGAATTTAAAAGAATAAATGAATGCGTGTACTGAAAAGAATTCTTTCCTCCCAACAAGGCCAAAATGCTCCTCAAGAAGGGTTGAATGGAGGGCCCATCCTGCTGGAGCCTGGAAGCTGCAGGCATCTGCAGCTTTAATCATAATTTGCACGTTGGTTTTAATAATAATAATTTTACACCTTGATTATTCCATCCAGTTTGCTCAGCTAATTAGTGAGAAAATGGGAATTGTCCAGGGTTAGGTGGGACTGACCTAAACCTGACTGTGTTTCAGCCTGGGTTTCCTATTCCTTTTCTTTAACTATAATATTAAATATGAAAAAAAATTTGATGCAAATCTAGTTAAAAAATGGGCGTTTTGAAGGGGGAACATGTGATTTTGATGTCACAAAACTTTGCTCTGCTCTGGCTTTGCCAGTGTCTGTGCACAAGCACAGAAATGAAAATCATCTTCTAGCTCAGCACAAACAAGAAGAATGAGAAGTCCAATCTGAATGATTATTTTCAGTCAATAATCCCATTCTTATCACACTGAAATCTCTGAAATAGATTTGTGTATTGAAGCTGCTTTGGAGTTTCTCTCTAATTTTCACCACTGGAGGCCTGTTCAAAACTCAGGCTGCTCTAACCCAGGAGCTGCAGCAGTGGCCATCCAAAACAGAGCAAAAATGAGCATCTCACTGATTTGGGGTAAAAAATAAATAATAAAAAATAATTAAAAAAAATAAAAAAAAAATAAAAAAAATTAATTTTATCCTCTGGGGATAAAATCCCCAGAGGAACTTTGGCCATGCTCCATATTCTTAGAACCACAATAAACCAATGAAAATTACTATGTCTCTGCTTTTTTATTGTCTTTAGCTTTGCCTGTATAGGGAAACATATGCAATTTTTAGGTGGTTTTAATTATTATCAGATATCTAATCCTGAAGATAAGAAAGTGAATAGAAAAGAAATTGCTTTTGTTCTTCTGATGGTGCTTCCTGATGAAATAACTAAATTGAAGAGCAAAGTGGAAATGGGTCTGTTCTGTTAGTTGTGCCAAAGGAAATTCTGCTCAGCTGAAATCCAAGCTGTGTTCTGATGCATTTATCTTGGTGGCATCAAGCCACTCAGTCTAATTTTGGTTTTTCCAAAGAGTCCTGGTGTATTTTAAACATCACACACAACAGAGATGCCTCAAACAAGGAGTGAGGAAAAGAATCCATTTCTTCTTTCATAAAATCTCCTACTCTCCTTGATTAAAGAGCAGGAAATGAATTAAGGAAGTAATTGATTTCTACAGGGTAACACAACTAATGGCATGCTCTGTTCAACCCCAGAAAAGTGAATATAAGATTATTCTTTTCATTTCATGCATGAAATCAATGTTTTCATCTTGCTTATTTCAAGTCTATTTATTGGATCAACAATTCTGCAATCAATAGTCGTGTCCCTTTCCTCTGCTCACTGATTGTAATGATGGGTATTTTGTCAAATTTTATGGGATTCGAGTCTTCCAGAGATTTTGATGGACATCTTTTGTCAAAACTGAGTGGTAACATCAATCAGGTTTCCACACTCTTGGGAATTCAGATTTCCATCACAGACAGCCCACTTACTTTTGTTTTCAGGAGCTCAGCTGGTGTTCTTATGGTAAAATCCTTCAAATCTACTCATACCTGAAGCGTCAAAACAATGCCAAAATCTATCAACACAATTTTCATTTTTCCTTGTAAAATTTGGCATCTGCTCACGTGCATTGAAATCTTTTTCTGTCTCTCTTTCTCTTCCAGTGATCCGAGCAAAAATCTCCAGTGAAAAGGTGGTTCCTGCCAGCGATGATCCCCTCGATAGCCACAAAATGATCCGGTATGAAATCAAACAAATAAAGGTACATGGAACCACTCAGCTTTTTTGTAGTTCAATGCTGATAACCTCTGCATATTTCAGCCCAAAATCATTTACCCCAAAACGCTGGGAAAGCTGGAAAAGGCTCCAGCTGCCCCCACAGTTCAACCCAGATGAATAAATCACAGGAGGGATTAAAAAAATAAGGGAAAAAAAAAATAAAATTAACATTTTAATGAATCCTTAAATGTTAAGGATTTATTCAAATGTTTCCTTACAGAAATAAATACATCAATGCCAGAGAATTCCCTTTCCTCCCACTTCAATGTTCTGCTGCTACTCTGCATCATTTCAGGAGCTTCAGAGATATTCAGGAGGTGTTTGCTAAATAATGATATTCAGGAGGGGTTTTTTTGATATTCAGGAGGTTTTTGCTAAAGAATGATATTTTTGATCAAGAATTTTGCTAAATAATGATATTTAGGAGGGGTTTTTTATATTCACGAGGTTTTTGCTAAATAATGATATTTTTGATGAAGAATTTTGCTAAATAATGATATTCAGGAGGGTATTTTTGACATTAAGGAGTTTTTTGCTGAAGAATTATATTTAGGAGGGTATTTTTGAATATTCAGGAAGTTTTTTGTTAAATAATGATATTTTTGATGAAGAATTTTGCTAAATAATGATATTCAGGAGGGTTTTTTTGGTATTCAGGAGATTTTTGTTAAATAATGATATTTTTGATCAAGAATTTTGCTAAATAATGATATTCAAGAGGGTATTTTTGACATTCAGGAGGTTTGTGCTGAATAATTATATTCAGGAGGTTTTTTTTGATATTCAGGAGGTTTTTGCTAAATAATGGTATTTTGATGAAGAATTTTCCTAAATAATGATATTCAAGAAGGTGTTTTTGACATTCAGGAGTTTTTTGCTGAAGAATTATATTTAGGAGGGTATTTTTTAATATTCAGGAAGTTTTTGTTAAATAATGATATTTTTGATCAAGAATTTTGCTAAATAATGATATTCAGGAGGGGGTTTTTTGATATTCAGGAGGTTTTTGCTAAATAATGATATTTTGATGAAGAATTTTGCTAAATAATGATATTCAGGAGGGTTTTTGTTGATATTCAGGAGATTTTTGTTAAATAATGATATTTTTGATCAAGAACTTTGCTAAATAATGATATTCCGGAGGGGCTTTTTTGATATTCAGGAGGTTTTTGCTAAATAATGATATTTTTGATGAAGAATTTTGCTAAATAATGATATTCAGGAGGGTATTTTTGATATTCAGGAGTTTTTTTGCTGAAGAATTATATTTAGGAGGGTATTTTTTAATATTCAGGAGGTTTTTGCTAAATAATGGTATTTTGATGAAGAATTTTGCTAAATAATGATATTCAGGAGGTTTTTTTGATATTCAGGAAGTTTTTGCTAAATAATGTTATTTTGATCAAGAATTTTGCTAAATAATGATATTCAGGAGGGGGGTATTTTTGATATTCAGGAGGCTTTTCCTAAATAATGACATTTTTAATTATTATTGCCATTATTTTGCTAAATATTTTAATTATTATATAATTATTTCAAATATTAATTTTAAATAATTATTTTTAATTATGATATAATTATTTTTTAATTAATTTTTAATTATTTTGCTAAATAATGATATTCAGGAGGGGGTTTTTTGATATTCAGGAGGTTTTTGCTAAGTAATGATATTTTGATGAAGAATTTTGCTAAATAATGATATTCAGGAGGGAGTTTTTTGATATTCAGGAGGCTTTTGCTAAATAATGATATTTTGATGAAGAATTTTGCTAAATAATGATATTCAGGAGGGGGGTTTTTGATATTCAGGAGTTTTTTGCTAAATAACGATATTTTGATGAAGAATTTTATCATTTGTGATTTTGAAGGCACCATAACTGTGCTTTGTTCTGGGAGTGGTGTCAGCACACCTGGGTTTGGAGAATTCCTGATGCCCTGAGTGTGGCAGCTGTGCAGGACCCAACCTTTCCAAAGGGAGGGGAGCATTCCCAGCTGGGGCAGCAAAGCCTTTGTTCACTGGATATTTGCAGGGCCAGGAGTCCTTCCTTCCCTCCTATCACACAAACCAAAATCCCTTTGTGTGAATGTGGCTGGGGAAGCAAACACCCAAAGAGGCAGGTTCAGAACCCTCCCAGGGTTTCCCCACCCTTTGTTCAGCTCCAATAAGGAGATATATTCATTTACACAGTTTAAAAAGACACATCTTGAGCCCATGGAAGTCAGCATCAAACTCTCACTGTGCTGAAATGATCATGATGATGGTCATTAAAATGATCATTTACCTTTTTCTGGAACACACAAGAAGTAGGTGATCTCTGTAAATTCAAATGTGTGAGGTGGATTGGTTTTCAATCTCATTTTTCACTGAATATTATTTTATAATTTTTGCTCTTTTCCATTTAATGGGAACACTTAAGAAGGTCCTTATGCATGGCTACATGGTCTCAAAAAATATTCAATCATTGAAGTTGTATTCATTGATAGAATCCCCTCACAGGAGCTTGAGTAGGCAGAATCTTTGGTAAACAAGAAAATCTCAAAGTGTTCACAGGGATGGTTATCACACCACTGATTATCACAAACCTCTTGGTGAGGTTTTACAATTTCAACAAATCAGTCTCTACCTTACTAAAACAAACCCCAAAGCTGTCACCATCTGCCACTTCCCATCCTCTTAAATGTTAAGGATTTATTCAAATGTTTCCTTACAGAAATAAATACATCAATGCCAGAGAATTCCCTTTCCTCCCACTGGCACTTCAATGTTCTGCTGCTACTCTGCAGCACCTCAGGAGCTTGAGAGAAATGCAAATCATCTCCTAGCTCAGCACAAACAAGAAGAATGAGAAATCTAATCTGAGTGATTATTTTCAGTCTATAATCCCATTCTTATCACACTGAAATCTCTGAAATAGATTCGTTTATTGAAGCTGCTTTGGAGTTTCTCCCTAATTTTCACCACTGGAGGCCTGTTCAAAACTCAGGCAGCAGGAAGAGGAGTTTATTTAATCCCAAATCAGCCAGATCTGGACAAGGCAGAGATGTGTTTTTGAAGAAAGATGCTCTACACCATAACACACAATACTCTTGTCCTGACCTAGAGATGGGGAAACTGGAGAGGCGTTTTAAAAACTTTTGTTCAATTTAGACTAACAACAGAAGGGTTGTGATAACTCCACCCCTCAAATCCTTCCTCCTGACCAGAGAGAGCTCAGGACCAAACCTTCCCCTGCCCCAGGACCCAGCTCCCTGCTCCAGGCAGGCAGGGATTTTGGGAAAGGAAGGATTTTGGTGGGAAACCAGGAGCTCTGTGACCTGCCCACCCTCTGTGCACCCAGTGTGGCACCAAAATAAACCCAGCAAGGCATGGGTGCCTGATAAACCCCACAGGAGTGACAGGGAGGGGTGACCTGTGACATCCAAGGAATGTAATGAGGTAAAATTAAACATGCTGAACAATTCATCTGCTGAGCTCAGAGCAATAGCTTGAGCACACCACGTCTCACCTCAGGTGACAGCATTTTAAAGAGTTTAACTCCACAGTGAGTGTGAAAGGTGAGGTTATCCTCTGTTCACCATTCCAAATCTTCTCTCAAGTGCTGCTGCTGCTTTCTCCTGGTGCCCTGCAGTGCCACAAGCTGCAGGGTCCTTTGGATGGCCTTGAGCACAGGGCTCTGGGTGACCCAGAATTCACAGAATTCACAGAATTCCCAGAATCACTGGGTTGGAAGAGACCTTCAAGATCATGGAGTCCAACCCAGCCCCAACAGCTCAACTCAACCCTGGCACCCAGTGCCACATCCAGGCTTTGTTAAACACACCCAGGGATAGGGACTCCACCACCTCCCTGGGCAGCCATTCCAGAACTTTATAATCTTTTCTGTAAAAAACTTTTCCTGCTCTCCAGCCTGGATTTCCCTCGAGGCTGTGTGCTCTGGTTGTGTCAGTGCTGCTGGAGACAGAGCCCAGCCCCAGCTGAGCACAGGCCCCTTTCAGGAGCTGTGAGAGTGATGAGGGCACCCTGAGTCTCCTTTTCTCCAGGCTGAGCACCCCCAGCTCCCTCAGGGCTTCCTCACAGGGTTTGTGTCCCCAGCCCCTCTCCAGCCTCCTTGTCCCCTCTGGATGTGCTCAGTGTCCCCAGGTCCTTCCCAAACTGAGGGGCCAGAGCTGGGCACAGCACTCCAGGTGTTCTGCATGCCCAGGGTGGGGACAGGCAGAGAATTTGCTTTATGTAACACAGCAGGGGAGAACAGGCCCTCCAGTTGTCTCTTTTGAGCTGTAAAATGCATCAAAAATTAGCACCAAAATTCACAAAAATTATCACCTCAGTGTGAGTTTTGGGGAGGGCTTTTAGACCACTCAGATATTCACACTTTCCTCATCAATTGTTCCCTCTTGGAGAGGAAACACAGAGCCCTTGGAGGTTTTATTTGACTGTAACATCAGCACAATGCTGCTGTCTCTCTACTCTATTGCTCTGTTGAGCTGTTCCATTAATGGGATGGCTTAAATTCTGTTTCTCTCATTTTAAATCCAGAGCATTAGGCTTAGCACTAAAATGTTGTTATTCTAGATGGAAATATTAGAGATAATTTGGATATTCATTTTCAGATATAAAAAAAATAACAATGGAGCTTTCATTTTTTTAGCAATGGGTCAGCATGTCAAGAAGCCATAAATGTTTTCAATTACTGTTTTTTTCTTGCCATATTTACAGCATTATATTAGACAGAGAAGATAATATGTGATATATATCCATTAATTTGTAATTTTATGAATATTTCTTCATATTTTGTAACTGAATTGATCATCACACACTCATTCTAAAATCTTCAAGCAAAGCCATGTGCTGGTGCTGGTTCCACCCCTCAGGAGGACAGGGACAGAGTCCACACAGACTTTAGGAGCAGGGGCACATCTCTCTATCCCCCAAATCCTCACCCTGTTTTCCTATTCCAATAAAGTCCCACCAGGACCACGCATCCATGCAGAACCAAACCCAACCACCTTATCCCTCTGCAGAGAAATATCCATGCTTTTAGAGAAGGGAGAATTGAGAAGATTAAATATGATTTACTGAGTTAAACACAAGATTATAATCTTTAGAATTGCTGTAACAATTATATAGGTCAAAACCAGAGATAAGTCAGACAGTAATTTAAAAAAAAATCTGAAAAAGCAACAAAAAAAACCTGCAACAAAACACTAAACTCATTTAAATATTAACTAAATCTCCATTATGAATCGCTGTGGATATTTAGGGGGTTTATAGCTAAATCAAGGTGTGTTGTCTGCAGAGTTGAGACCAAAGCTGAGATATCCATGGAAAATCTGTTCCCTACGAGGCCCTGAGGGTTTCTGAATGTGGAGAGAGCTCGAGGCAAAGCTGACCTGGACAGACACAGTTCCCTCTTCATTCTGCAGCTTTTCTGTGGCTCCCACTGCTGCTTTGGCCAGGGTGCCAGTTTGGTTTGTGTTTTGGTCTGTCTGGGCCTGTTTGTTTTATTCTCCAGAGCATTTCAAATCCCAGCTCATCCTTTTGGATCGGCCGCACGCTGACAACAGCGTTGGCTTCCTTCCCCCCTCCGTAAATAAAGCTTCAGAAAAACCAACATATGACAGAGTATTTTCTAGTGGCCTGTGCTATTTCCATCCCCTGGGAGGGCTTGAGGAACACAAACACATTTTCCAGGCACACCAGCTGCAACTGGGAGAGCTGTGAGCCCCTGCCATTGTCCCCAGCTGTCAACACGTGGCATGATGTCACCAGGGCTGGTGGTGGCACACGAGGTGATGACAGGCACCCAGCAGCACCTTGGACACTGCCCAGCTTGTTTGCATCTTTTAATGCCTCATTTCTGATCTCTTTTCGTGGTTGAAACTGCTGGTTAAGGGGCAGCCAGCCTGAAAAGGGTTTTGGTCCCAAATCTCTCCATTTTGGGGCTTGCAGGCTGGAAATTCTGAGGGGTGGGTGAAGTTTCCCAGCAGTTATTTGAGAAGGTCCCATGCAGCTGCATTTCCCTTCACAGAGGGAAGGCACAGCTTCCCAAAGAAATTTCTGGGAATGGCAGCTCTGAACCTCAGAGAAAGAAAAAACAGTTCTTATCTCATTTACTGCTCCTGTAGTTGTCTTAAAACAACTTTTTACTCCTGTCTTGTTTTAAAAGAAGTAGAATGCATTGTGGAAGATTGTTTAACTGAAAAAAATTAAGAATTAAATTCTGGTGTGAGTGTTTAGATTCACTGAATTGAATCCAAGTGTGTATGTCAGGACTGTTGGATGACAAAGTTCTAAACAATTGAGTGCTTGTTTCGATTCACTGTAATATAGTATAAAATAATACAGTATTATAGTATAAAATAATATAGTATAATAAAGTAATTATTTAACCTTCTGATAAGATCGAGTCCTCCTCATCTTTCTCCCCTCATCAGGGTTGCCCTGCATTGCTGATGGCCCCACTGGTGAGAGTTTGGGATATGGAGAATCACTCAGTTTTAGTGACCAAATATGAAAACACTGCTCAGGAAATGCTCAGCTCCTCAGCATGTTTGGTGTCCCAGGAGACCCCAACAACTCCAGTGACCAAAATTCCCCAGAGGAAGACACTGAGAAATATTTGCCTTTTGGTCAGGGTGAATGCTGTCTCTGCATTGCTCCTTGCATGGAATATGCCAGTAGAATAATAAACTGAAGAGAAACTTTTAACAATCCATGAAATACGCTGAAAAAGCACATTTTAAAAGCTATAATTTAAAAAATCAAGACCTACTTAGTTCCCTCCTAAAACTCTTGGATGAATTTCATTAAGTGTAGAGAAAAAGTCCAGTTCTTGGTGTTTTCTCACATTAATTCAGACTTTGGAGCCTTCTTTAAAGAGACTCACCCTGTATCTCTTCCAGCTCTTTTTTGCAACTGTTTTTTCATGCTTGTTTTCCACTGCTGACTCTGTTTCTGATCATTTTCAGATGTTTAAAGGATTTGAAAAGCTCAAGGATGTCCAGTATGTCTACACCCCCTTTGATTCATCACTCTGTGGAGTGAAACTAGAAGCCAACAACAAAAAACAGTATCTTCTAACAGGTAAAATGGAGCAAAATCAACGTTCCTGGGGATTCAGAAGTGGCTGCTTGGAGGGAATTTGCTAAAATATGCAAAGGAATGCATTTATGCACTAAATACAAACACAACAGGATGTAAAAATTGTGTTCATCTCTAGTTTTAGTGTGACCTGACACATTTTTCACCCTTCCTGCAGCACTCTTAGAGCAGTTCCAAAGGAAGGGAAGGTCAATGATGATATAATCAGTAAACAAAAGGAATTTTGATTCCGTATTTGCCATTATTATTTGATTAAAACCAACAGTGCTGATTTTCCCAGGAATGCAAAGGTGCATAATGAGAAAACACCTGCCTGTGTGTCTGCAGGCCTGGGGTTCCAAGTAAATACAGATTTTTCCAGACACTCCTAAAATCCCGTTTAACTTCATTTGCATCCACCCCTTGCTGGCAGACTATCAACATATTTAGGAAAAATATCCTTCTTTAATCTTTTACATCCATCCAGCGTGCAATTAGGAGAACATTCTCTCCGTTGTAATTAAATTAATTTAAAACATTTTAGAGGATGACTAATTTGGTGCAATTAGTTAAAAGCTCAAGGTGTTCTTACACTTCTAATATTTAGAGAACCCTTTTATTCCTTTGATTTTTTTGTGTTTTCCACGCTGCAGGCCAAATTTTAAGTGATGGCAAAGTGCTGATCCACTTGTGCAACTACATTGAGCCGTGGGATGATTTATCCTTGTCTCAGAAAAAGAGCCTGAACCAGAGGTACCAGATGGGCTGTGGCTGCAAGGTGAGTGCTGAGCAGACAAATGGAAATAAACGTGGTTTATTCACATTTTTGAGAATAAACCTCAGCTCAGAGCAAGCTGCAAGTCAGACAGTAATTTCAGAGCAGATAAATGTAAATAAATAATGGTAAATCATATTTTTGAGAATAAACCCCTGTTCAGAGGAAGCTGCAAAGTGACTGCAGAGCAGATAAATGTAAATAAACACCATTTATTCACATTTTTGAGAATAAAAATGTGAATAAACCTCCCCTGTTCAGAGGAAGCTGCAAGGTGAGTGTAGAGCAGATAGGTGTAAATAAACACTGTTAATTCACATTTGTGAGAATAAAGCCCAGGTCAGAGGAAACTGCAAGGTGAGTGTAGAGCAGATAGATGTAAATAAACACTGTTAATTCACATTTTTGAGAATAAACCTCGGTTCACAGGAAGCCGCAAGGTGAATCCAAAGCAGATAAATGTAAATAAACACTATTTACTTGTATTTTTGAGAATAAACCCCTGTTCAGAGGAAGCTGCGAGTGCAGAGCAGATAAATGTAAATTAACACTGTTAATTCACATTTTTGAGAATAAAGCTCAGGTCAGAGGAAGCTTCAAGGTGAGTGCCAGGCAGATAGATGTAAATAAACCCTGTTTATTCCCATTTTTGGGAATAATCCCAGTCCAAAGGAAGCTGCAAGATGAGTGCAGAGCAGATAGATGTTAATTAACAGCGTTTATTCACATTTTTGAGAATAAACCTCAGTCCAAGGGAGGCTGCAAGGGGAATGCAGAGCAGATAACTGTAAATAAACACTATTTTTGAGAATAAACCTCGGTTCAGAGGAAGGTGAGTGCAGAGCAGATAGATGTAAATACACTCCATTTAATCACATTTTTGAGAATAAAGCCCTGTTCAGAGGAAGCTGCAGGGTGAGTGCAGAGCAGATAGATGTAAATAAACACCTTTTATTCACATTTTTGAGAATAAACCCCAGTTCAGAGGAAGCTGCATGGTGAGTGCAGAGCAGATAGATGTAACCAAGGCCCATTTATTCACATTTTTGGGAAGAACCCCAGTCCAAGAGAGGCTGCAAGGTGAGTGCAGAACAGATAACTGTAAATAAGCCCCATTTATTCCCATTTTTGGGAATAAACCCCAGTTCAGAGGAAGCTGCAAGGTGAGTGCAGAGCAGATAACTGCAAACAAGTTTGTGAGAATAAACCCCAGTTCAGAGGAAGCTGCAGGGTGAGTGCAGAGCAGATAACTGTAACCAAAACCCATTTATTCACATTTTTGGGAAGAACCCCAGTCCAAGAGAGGCTGCAAGGTGAGTGCAGAGCAGATAACTGCAAACAAGCGCTGTTAATTCCCATTTTTGAGAATAAACCCTGGTTCAGAGGAAGCTGCATGGTGAGTGCAGAGCAGATAACTGTAACCAAGGCCCATTTATTCCCATTTTTGAGAATAAACCCCGGTTCAGAGGAAGTTTCAAGCTGAGTGCAGAGCAGGTAGACATAAACCAGCCCCGTTCATTCCCGTTTTTGGGAGCAGCCCCAGCCCTGGAGGCTGCGGGGTGCTGAAGGCCGGCTGTCTCCCCAGATCACCACGTGCTACTCGGTGCCCTGCTCCATCACGGCGCCCAACGAGTGCCTGTGGACGGACTGGCTGCTGGAGCGGCGGCTGCAGGGCCACCAGGCGCGCCACTACGCCTGCATCCGCCGCAGCGATGGCACCTGCAGCTGGTACCGGGGCGGGCCACCCCCAGAGAAGGAGTTCATGGACATCAGCGAGCCCTGAGCGCCCAACGTTCCCTAAAGCACCGCCCTGGGAGGCTCCTTCCGTCCCGCCGGCCTAGAAACGAGCGCCGCGTCCCCAAAGGGCCCGTGGGGCCGGCACCGCTGCAGGACGAGGGACAAACCTCCTGCAGGCCCCTGCTCTGCTCTGTTATGCTTTGCACAGAGGGCTGGCAGCGTCCTCCAAGGCACAACAAATCCCCTTCTTGCCAATATGAATGTACGAGAATAAATTTTGCCAGAATTTTGCCAATACGAATGGTCAAGAACAAATTTTGCCAGAATTTTGTCGATTTTGCCGATGCGAATGTTCAAGGACAAATTTTGCCAGAATTTTGCCAGAATTTTGCCAATAAGAATGTTCAAGAACAAATTTTTCGAAAATTTTGCCAAAATTTTGCCAATACGAATGTTCAAGGACAAATTTTGCCAGAATTTTGTCGATTTTGCCAATACGAATGTTCAAGGACAAATTTTTCCAGAATTTTGCCAGAATTTTGCCTATAAGAATGTCCAAGAACAAAAATTTTGCCAATATGAATGTTCGAGAACAAATTTTGCCAGAATTTTGCCAATATGAATGTTCAAGAACAAATTTTGCCAGAACTTTTTCCAATTTTGCCATTTTGAATGTTTGAGAACAAATTTTGCCTGAATTTTGTGAATTTTGCCAATATGAATGTTCAAGGACAAATTTTTCCAGAATTTTGCCATTTTTGCCAATATCAATGTATAAGAACAAATTTTGCCAGAATTTTCCCAGAATTTTGCCAATACGAATGTTCAAGAACGAATTTTGCCAGAATTTTGCCAGAATTTTGCCAGAATTTTGCCAGTTTTGCCAATATGAATATTCAAGAACAAATTTTCCCAGAATTTTGCCAATACAAATGTTCAAGAACAAATTTTGCCAGAATTTTGCCAGAATTTTGCCAATATCAATGTTCAAGAGCAAATTTTGCCAGAATTTTGCCAATACAAATGTACAAGAACAATTTTTGCCAGAATTTTGCCAATATGAATGTTCAAGAACAAATTTTGCCCACTGTTTTGATCACCTGCAGGTTAAGAGCTCCCCGTGTTTTATTCCAAATCTTTCTGATGAACTACGGAATGTTTTACAGAACTATTTTTTTTTTTCTGTATGAAAGTCTTGGATATGAAAGAATTATTGTACAGTGTATATGTAAAGTATTATAACAATGTGCTATTAAAAAGAAAAGATTCACAAATGTTTCCTTATGTGTTGAATCGATTTGAACACTTTCTGTGATTAAAACAATCTGTGCTCCACATTTTGTATTTTCCTTATGTCACAGCTTCCTTTATCCACAGAGTTGTAACTTCCATTGATAACTAAATTAAGAAACAGCCTTGATAATCAAAACCCCCTTCCCAAGTCAGCATTCCTATGGACTAACCACACCTTGCTGAAGGGAAAGCCAGATTTTTAATCCATGGGTTAAATCATTAATCCATGGATTTAAGCATTCCATGGAACAAATTCCAAGCCCAAATGATGACAGGCTAAAAATGCTCAGAACTACAAAAACCATGTCCATCCTCAGGGCAGCTGCAGCCCTTACAACCTCCCTAAATACATGACCAGGACTTGTTCCCCAGAACTGTTCAAACTTCAGAAACTCACCTGAAAACACATGCAATAAATATTGCATAAGTCACACTGCCATGATTTCTGGAAGCTCTCAGACATTTCACCTTCTTTAATAGGATTTCTTTGTTTTTCATTCATGAACGCCCACCATACCCTGTCAGTGAATTTGGCTACTTGTGAACTCAGACTAGAGAAAGCTTACAGCACATTTTGCCTGTAACTTTTTTAGTGTCATAACTTTCCTGAATTGATGACTGGAGTTAGTGACTAATCCTTCACACGTGTATTTAAGTTTATAAAAGTAACTCAATTCACAGTGGTGAAACTTAGGGAAGTGTAAATGCCAAAGTCCAGACTATTTGTGAGCCAGAAAAAAGGAGCAGAGCCCTCAGGAAGGATGGGAATCTCCAGTAGCTGCCTTTTCTGACAGATTTTACTATCTAAAGGATAGGAAGGATGGGAATCTCCAGTACTTGCCTTTTCTGACAGATTTTACTATCTAAAGGACAGGTTTGGAAATGCTCTTCTAAAATAGATTTACGTTTTTTGTGACGAAGTTTACACATTTCCAGTGAAATGCAAATGGTGCAAGGCCAACAGGAAAATGTGTCATTATTATCCTTTGAGGAATAAGTGTCCCTTAACACATAAAAGCCAATGTTTCACTTTTTATCTACTATAAATCAGTCTGGCTCTTTTAATTTACAGCCCTAAATTAAAACCATATCTGTGTGCTGCCAAATGTAAAACCCAGTTTGTTTTCTTCTTTAGACAAACCAAAAACTTCCTAGGCACTAACAATTTGGACCACAGACTTACATAAATGAAACAAAAAGGAATAAAAAGCTACATTTCTTCTGAAAAATAATTGATGTTGTAGTGACATTATTGGCAGAGCTATTTACTGACAGTGCTGTGCATTTATATTATTAATTTCCAGAAAGATTCAAAGCCAGGCCTTATTTCCTTGTGTCAGATCAAACCAATACCTAGAGAAGCCCACAGAGCTAAATAACCACAAAGGTTAAAATTCAGTGGTTAATATTCAATGATTAATATTCAGTGGTTAATATTCAGTGGTTAATATTCAATGGTTAATATTCAGTGGTTAATATTCAGTGGTTAATATTCAATGATTAATATTCAGTGGTTAATATTCAGTGGTTAATATTCAATGGTTAATATTCAATGGTTAATATTCAATGGCTAATATTCAATGATTAATATTCAATGGTTAATATTCAGTGGTTAATATTCAATGATTAATATTCAATGGTTAATATTCAGTGGTTAATATTCAGTACCAGTGCTGTGGCATTTGGCTCCAAATCCATTTTGATGGGATGGTGCCTTTTGGATAACAGCAAACAGATATTTTCTGCTTTTCAGCTCCCCAGAGCTCTGGTCCTATTTCGGTTTTACAGTAATTGGACCTGAACCTCACCCAGCCCACATTGCCTCTCTGGGCACCTTGCACAAAGAAATGCTTTCTCTGATATTTATGGACAGACTGTGACACAAATTGGGTGCTACAATTAGTTTTTAAAAGTTTCCTACTTTTCCTGCTATAAAATATCCCTCATGAGGTGTTTCACAATGAAGGTTTGTCCACTTTAATTTCTGGCTGAGCAGAAATCTGCCCAAACTCCCCACAATGGATGGTACCAAGATTTGGTTTTTTCCCTCATATCAATAAATGTGGCAAGAAAACCTTTACAAAACCCAGCTCAGAATGAGATTTTATTTTCCCTGAGGAAGACTCTCCAAAGCCTTGACTACAACGTGGCATTCTGAATATGTTATTTTAATATCAGGATTTTTACTGTAGTGGCATTGATACCTTATCAACAGCAGATTCTTTTTACAATGTTTTCTTTTGACTTCTAGAAACTGTGTTTGTGTTACATGAGAGGGTGGAGCAGAAACACAGCCTGGCACAGCATTTTAATTTAATTTGCAAAGGACTCACATGACTTTTGGTGAGAGTAGGGAAAAGAAGAGAGAAGGGAGTCTGTATAGGTGAACAGGGAGAAAAACCCCACCACCTGGAATATTGCTGGTGTTTCCTCAACGTTCCAGATAGGCTTGAATGAAATTGTTCAGCAATTATGTTGGAAAATCCGTGTGGTTTTTGCAGAGAACAGAGGAGGTGGGAATGCAGTGAAATAAAGAGAACTAATTACTGAGGGAAAGGCTGTAGGTATGACTCAGCCAGCAAGGAGTTCAAAAGCCTCACAGCGTTTTTGGTGATCAGTCTGGGATGAATGTTTCTGTTTCAAGAAGTGTTTCATTAAAGCAGCTCTGTTTTTACACAAAAGAATGGAATCTCTAATTGTTTATTTACCTTGCATTGCCTAAAGCCTCAGCACAAACCAGCAGAGGATGAAAGGAGCACCTCTGGCAGGCTCAGCTGACCCTCAATTCCCAGAGATTTGGGGCTTTTTCCCTCTCCTCACGTCCCCCCTGAGCTGGTTTGCACTGGAGGGGGGGACAGCTCCAGGTTCCCATTGGAGAACAAAAAGGGAAGGAAAAAAAGCAGGAGGAACACCAAGAAAAATATTTAAAACTGTAATTGCCAAATTCTGCATCAACAAATGCCAGCTGTTGATAAAGTGATGAGAACCCAAAACAAAATAACACGATATGGTTTCAGTGCAGCATCAGAAGACTCTGACTCCCAGATCATCTTACAACCCACTCCAGAAATTCAAACAAAATGTTGTCTTGTACCACATTGCCTGATTATTTCCCAAGCCACAAAGTTCCAGATGCTTTCTTTGGGAGGAATAAAACCAAACAAATGAGTGTCATCACAGGCAGCTCTTGCAGCAGTTCTCAGTGGCAGTGCAATACCCAAATGGATTCATTTTCTCTACATTAACATTCATTACCATAGAAATATGGAAAAAAAAAAAATACTTGGCTGTGGAGAACAGCATTCAAAAGTTCAAAAAAAGAGAAATAAGTTCTGACTTTAATGAGCAATGTAGAGGAATGAAAACAGGGAAAACCACTCACAGGGTTGCTGCACTCAGAAAAATATGCCATATAAACTTATAAGTCTGAAACATTAGCTCTTGCCCCAAAATGAAATGTTCTTTGTTTCTGTGGACTGAAGTTTAACAAAGCACCCAAAATTCTGCTTTTTTCAATACAATTACAGCCAATCTTAAATTTGAAGGATCCTTTGGGGGTCATTGTGCCCCACTCCCTGCTCCTCACTGCTGCCTAAAACTGAACCACAGCCTAAAACCATCAGCCAGGTGCTCCTGGGACTCTGTCAGCCTCATCTGTGTTATTTTCTGTCCGTGGAGCACTGGCAGTCAGTGTTAGCCCAGGCACCTGAAGGTCCCAAGTCACAACCAGCCTGATTTAGGCTGAGTTCAAAGCTCTGCAGTGCCCAGTG